AAATTTGCAGGAATTCTGTGGGAAAAATTCCAGGAATTCTGTGGGAAAAATTCCAGGAATTCTGTGGGAAAAATTTCAGGAATTCTGGGGGAAAATTTGCGAGAATTCTGTGGGAAAATTCTGGGAATTCTGTGGGAAAAAATTGCGGGAATTCTGTGGGGAAAATTCCAGGAATTTTGTGGGGAAAGTTCTGGGAACTCTGGAGGAAAAATTCTGGGAATTCTGTGGGAAAAATTCCAGAATTCTGTGGGAAAAATTTCAGGAATTCTGGGGGGAAAATTCCAGGAATTCTGTGGGAAAATTCTGGGAATTCTGAGGGGAAAATTCTGGGAATTCTGTGGGAAAAATTTGAGGAATTCTGGGGGAAAAATTCTGGGAAATCTGTGGGAAAAATTCCGGGAAACCAATGGGAAAAATTCCAGGAATTCTGAGGGGAAAATTTGTAGGAATTCTGTGGGGAAAATTCTGGGAATTCTGGGGGAAAAATTCCAGGAATTCTGTGGGGAAAATTCCAGAATTCTGTGGGGAAAATCTGGGAATTCTGGGGGAAAGTTCTGGGAATTCTGTGGGGAAAAAATCTGGGAATTCTGGGGGAAAAAATTCTGGGAATTCTGTGGGGAAAATTTGGACATTCTGTGGGGAAAATTTTGGGAATTCTGGGGGAAAAATTCCAGGAATTCTGGGGGGAAAATTTCAGAATTCTGGGGGGAAAATCTGGGAATTATCTGGGGGAAAATTCGGGGAATTCTGTGAGGAAAATTCCAGGAATTCTGTGGGGAAAATCTGGGAATTCTGGGGGGAAAATTCTGGGAATTCTGTGGGAAAAATTCTGGGAATTCTGTGGGAAAATTCCAGAATTCTGTGGGGGAAAGTTCTGGGAATTCTGTGGGGAAAATTTGGGAATTCTGTGGGAAAATTCTGGGAATTCTGGGGAAAAATCCCCGAAATTCCCCAAGGGAAATTCCAAGCAATCCAATTGCAAATCCCAGCAGGGAAAAGCTGCGGGATCCAGGTGGAATTCCAGGAATTTTCCTTTTTTTTCCGCGCCTACGGAGACCTGGATGGGCGGGAATTGGATTCTCTCTGTCAATTCCTCAATTCCCGAGCGCTCGAGCGGGAAAAGTCGGAGCTGAGGAGGCTCCGGAGCTGCTTCAGAGCATTCCAGAGGTGAGGAATTCCTGGAATTCTGTGGGGAATCTATCCTCAAAATTCCAGGGAAAATCGCCTCAAAATTCCATGGAAATATCCTCAAAATTCCATGAAAATTCCATTAAAATCCCCCCAAAATTCCATGAAAATATCCTCAAAATTCCATTAAAATTCCATTAAAATTCCCCCAAAATTCCATTAAAATCTCCCCAAAATTCCATGAAAATCTCAAAAAATTCCATGAAAATCTCCCCAAAATTCCATTAAAATCCCCCCAAAATTCCATGAAAATCCTCCCAAAATTCCATGAAAATCCCCTCAAAATTCCATAAAAATCCCTTCAAAATTCCATTAAAATCTCCGCAAAATTCCATGAAAATCCTCCCAAAATTCCATGAAAAATACCACAAAATTCCCAGAAAATCCCCCCAAAATTCCATTAAAATTCCATTAAAATTCCCCCAAAATTCCCTTAAAATCTCCCCAAAATTCCATGAAAAATCCTCCCAAAATTCCATGAAAATCTCTCCAAAAATCCTTAAAAAATCCCCCAAAATTCCATGAAAATCTCCAAAAATTCCATGAAAAATTCCCCCAAAATTCCATGAAAATCTCAAAAAATTCCATGAAAATTCCCCCAAAATTCCATTAAAATTCCCCCAAAATTCCATTAAAATCTCACCAAAATCCATGGAAAATCCACCACAAAATTCCCAGAAAATCCTCCCAAAATTCCATGAAAATCTCACCAAAATCCATGGAAAATCCCCCCAAAATTCCATGAAAATTCCATTAAAATCTCCTCAAAATTCCCAGAAAATCCCCCCAAAATTCCATTAAAATCTCCCCAAAATTCCATGAAAATCCCCTCAAAATTCCTTGAAAATCTCAAAAAATTCCATTAAAATTCCCCCAAAATTCCATTAAAGTCTCCCAAAATTCCATGAAAATCCTCACAAAATTCCATGAAAATCTCCTCAAAATTCCATGAAAATTCCCCAAAAATTCCCAGAAAATCCCTCCAAAATTCCATGAAAATGTCCCCAAAAATCCTTTTGGAAAATCCCAAAAATTCCCAGAAAATCCACCCAAAATTCCATTAAAATTCCCCAAAAATTCCATTAAAATCTCCCCAAAATTCCATGAAAATTCCCTCAAAATTCCATTAAAATCCTCCCAAAATTCCATGGAAATTCCCCCAAAATTCCATTAAAATCTTCCCAAAATTCCATTAAAATCTCCTCAAAATTCCATGGAAAATGCCCCCAAAATTCCACGAAAATCCTCCCAAAATTCCATGGAAATATCCTCAAAATTCCATGGAAAATGCCCCCAAAATTCCATTAAAATTCCATTAAAATTCCCCAAAAATTCCATGAAAATCTCACCAAAATCCATGGAAAATCCACCACAAAATTCCCAGAAAATCCTCCCAAAATTCCATTAAAATCTCCTCAAAATTCCATGAAAAATTCCCCCAAAATTCCATGAAAATTCCATTAAAATCTCCTCAAAATTCCATGAAAATCCTCCCAAAATTCCATTAAAATCTTCCCAAAATTCCATGGAAATATCCTCAAAATTCCATTAAAATTCCATTAAAATTCCCCCAAAATTCCATGAAAATTCCCCCAAAATTCCATTAAAATCTCCTCAAAATTCCCTTTGGAAAATCCCAAAAATTCCCAGAAAATCCACCCAAAATTCCATTAAAACCTCCCCAAAATTCCATGAAAAATCCCCACAAAATTCCATGAAAATCTCAAAAAATTCCATAAAAATTCCCAAAAAATTCCATGGAAATTCCTCCAAAATTCCATGAAAATCTCCCAAAAAATCCCTTTGGAAAATCCCAAAAATTCCCAGAAAATCCCCTCAAAATTCCATTAAAACCTCCTCAAAATTCCATGAAAATCCTCACAAAATTCCATAAAAATTCCCAAAAAATTCCATGAAAATCCCTCCAAAATTCCATTAAAATCTCCCCAAAAATCCCTTTGGAAAATCCCAAAAATTCCATGAAAATCTCCAAAAATTCCATGAAAATCCTCACAAAATTCCATTAAAATTCCCTCAAAATTCCATGAAAATTCCCCCAAAATTCCATGAAAATCTCCAAAAATTCCGTGAAAAATTCCAAAAACTTCCATGAAAATCCCTCCAAAATTCCATTAAAATCTCACCAAAATTCCATGAAAATCTCCCCGAAATTCCCAGAAAATCCCCTCAAAATTCCATTAAAACCTCCCCAAAATTCCATGAAAATCCTCACAAAATTCCATAAAAATTCCCCCAAAATTCCATTAAAATCCCTGAAAAATTCCATGAAAATCTCCCCAAAATTCCATTAAAATCTCACCAAAAATCCTTGAAAAATCCCCCAAAATTCCATGAAAAATCCCCACAAAATTCTATGGAAAATCCATCCCAAAATTCCCAGAAAATCTCCAAAAATTCCATTAAAATATCCCCAAAAATCCCTTTGGAAAATCCCAGAAATTCCATGAAAGTCCTCACAAAATTCCATTAAAACCTTCCCAAAATTCCATGAAAATCCTCACAAAATTCCATAAAAATTCCCCCAAAATTCCATGAAAATCCCTGAAAAATTCCATGAAAATCTCCAAAAATTCCATGAAAAATTCCAAAAAAATTCCCAGAAAATTCCCCCAAAATTCCATTAAAATTCCCCCAAAATTCCATTAAAATTCCCCCAAAATTCCATGAAAATCCCCCCAAAATTCCATTAAAATCTCCTCAAAATTCCCTTTGGAAAATCCCAAAAATTCCCAGAAAATCCCCTCAAAATTCCATTAAAACCTTCCCAAAATTCCATGAAAATCCTCACAAAATTCCATAAAAATTCCCCCAAAATTCCATTAAAATCCCTGAAAAATTCCATGAAAATCTCCCCAAAATTCCATTAAAATCTCACCAAAAATCCTTGAAAAATCCCCCAAAATTCCATGAAAAATTCCCAAAATTCCTTGAAAATTCCCCAAATTTTTTGGGAAAATCCCCCAAATTCTTTGGAAAATCCCAAAATTTTTTGGAAAATCCCCAAAATTCCTGGAAAATCCCAAAAATTCTTTAAGAAATCCCAAAATTCCGTGGAAATTCCCAAAATTTTTTGGAAAATCCCAAAATTCCTTGGAAAAACCCCCAAAATTCTTGGAAAATCCCCAAAATTCCTTGGAAATTCCCAAATTTTTTGGAAAATCTCCAAAATTCCATGAAAAATTCCCCAAATTTTTTGGAAAATCCCCCAAAATTCCTGGGAAATTCCCAAAGTTCCTTGGAAATTCCCAAAATTCCTTCAGGAAATCCCAAAATTCCTTTAAAAACCCCCAAATTCCTTGGAAAATCTCCAAAATTCCATGAAAAATCCTCCCAAAATTCCATTAAAATCCCCCCAAAATTCCATGGAAAATACCCTCAAAATTCCATGAAAATCTCCCAAAAAATCCCTTTGGAAAATCCCAAAAATTCCATGAAAATCTCCCCAAAATTCCATTAAAATCTCACCAAAAATCCTTGAAAAATCCCCCAAAATTCCATGAAAAATCCCCACAAAATTCTATGGAAAATCCATCCCAAAATTCCCAGAAAATCTCCAAAAATTCCATTAAAATATCCCCAAAAATCCCTTTGGAAAATCCCAGAAATTCCATGAAAGTCCTCACAAAATTCCATTAAAACCTTCCCAAAATTCCATGAAAATCCTCACAAAATTCCATAAAAATTCCCCCAAAATTCCATGAAAATCCCTGAAAAATTCCATGAAAATCTCCAAAAATTCCATAAAAATTCCAAAAAAATTCCCAGAAAATTCCCCCAAAATTCCATTAAAATTCCCCCAAAATTCCATGAAAATCCCCCCAAAATTCCATTAAAATCTCCTCAAAATTCCCTTTGGAAAATCCCAAAAATTCCCAGAAAATCCCCTCAAAATTCCATTAAAACCTTCCCAAAATTCCATGAAAATCCTCACAAAATTCCATAAAAATTCCCCCAAAATTCCATTAAAATCCCTGAAAAATTCCATGAAAATCTCCCCAAAATTCCCTTCGGAAAATCCAAAAAAATTCCTCAAAAATCCCCAAAAATTCCTTGGAAAAACCTAAAAAAATTCCTTAAGAAATCCCCAAAACTCCATGAAAAATCCCCAAATTTTTTGGAAAATCCCGAAAATTCTTCCAAAATTCCCAAAATTCCTTGAAAAATCCCCAAATTTTTGGGGAAAATCCCCAAAATTCCTGGGAAATTCCCAAAGTTCCTTGGAAATTCCCAAAATTCCTTCAGGAAATCCCAAAATTCCTTTAAAAAATCCCAAAATTCTTTGGAAAATCCCCAAAATTCCATGAAAAATCCCCAAAATTCCTTGAAAAATCCCAAAATTCTTTGGAAAATCCCAAAAACCTTTCAAAAATTCTCAAAATTCCTTAAAAAACCCCAAAATTCTTGGAAAATTCCCCAAAATTCCTTAAAAAATCCCAAAATCCCTTAAAAATTCCCCAAATTTTTTGGGAAAATCCCCAAAATTCCATGAAAAATTCCCAAAATTCCTTGGAAATTCCCCAAATTTTTTTGGAAAATCCCCCAAATTCTTTGGGAAATCCCAAAATTCTTGGAAAATCCCTAAAATTCCATGAAAAATCCCCAAAATTCCTTAAAAAAACCCCAAAATTCTTGGAAAATTCCATGAAAAATTCCCAAAATCCCTTAAAAAATCCCCAAATTTTTTGGAAAAATCACCCAAATTCCTTGGAAAATCCCAAAAATTCCTGGAAAATCCCAAAATTTTTTTGGAAAATCCCAAAATTCCATGAAAAATTCCCAAAATTCCTTGGAAATTCCCCAAATTTTTTGGAAAATTCCCCAAATTCCTTAAAAAATCCCAAAAACCTTTCAAAAATTCCCAAAATTCCTTAAAAAAATCCCCAAATTTTTGGGGAAAATCCCCAAAATTCCATGAAAAATCCCCAAAATTCCTTGAAAAATCCCAAAATTCTTTGGAAAATCCCAAAATTTTTTGGAAAATCCCCAAAATTCCATGAAATATTCCCAAAATTCCTTGAAAAATCCCAAAATTTTTGGAAAATCCCCAAAATCCCTTAAAAAATCCCAAAATTTTTTGGAAAATCCCAAAATTTTTTGGAAATTCCCCAATTTTTTGGGGGAAAATCCCCAAAATTCCTTAAAAAAACCCAAAATTCCTTGAAAAATCCCAAAATTCCTTAAAAAACCCCCCAAATTCTTGGAAAATTTCCCAAAATTCCATGAAAAATTCCCAAAATTCCTTGAAAATTCCCCAAATTTTTTGGGAAAATCCCCCAAATTCTTTGGAAAATCCCAAATTTTTTTGGAAAATCCCCAAAATTCCATGAAAAATCCCCAAAATTCCTTAAAAAAACCCAAAATTCCTTGAAAAATCCCAAAATTCCTTAAAAAATCCCCAAATTCTTGGAAAATTTCCCAAAATTCCTTGAAAATTCCCCAAAATTTTTTGGGAAAATCCCCCAAATTCCTTAAAAAATCCCAAAATTTTTTGGAAAATCCAAAAATTTTTTGGAAAATCCCCAAAATTCCATGAAAAATTCCCAAAATTCCTTGGAAAATCCCAAAATTTTTTGGAAAATCCCCAAAATTCCATGAAAAATTCCCAAAATTCCTTGAAAAATCCCAAAATTTTTGGAAAATCCCCAAAATCCCTTAAAAATCCCAAAATCCCTTAAAAAATCCCCAAATTTTTTGGGAAAATCCCCAAAATTCCTTCAAAAAATCCCAAAATTTTTTGGAAAATCCAAAAATTTTTTGGAAAATCCCCAAAATTCCATGAAAAATTCCCAAAATTCCTTGGAAAATCCCAAAATTTTTTGGAAAATCCCCAAAATTCCATGAAAAATTCCCAAAATCCCTTAAAAATTCCCCAAAATTTTTTGGGAAAATCCCCAAAATTCCTTAAAAAATCCCAAAATTCCTTGAAAATTCCCCAAATTTTTTGGGAAAATCCCCCAAATTCTTTGGAAAATCCCAAAATTTTTTGGAAAATCCCCAAAATTCCATGAAAAATTCCCAAAATTCCTTGAAAAATCCCAAAATTTTTGGAAAATCCCCAAAATCCCTTAAAAATCCCAAAATCCCTTAAAAAATCCCCAAATTTTTTGGGAAAATCCCCAAAATTCCTTAAAAAACCCCAAAATTCCTTGAAAAATCCCAAAATTCCTTAAAAAATCCCCAAATTCTTGGAAAATTTCCCAAAATTCCTTGAAAATTCCCCAAAATTTTTTGGGAAAATCCCCCAAATTCCTTAAAAAATCCCAAAATTTTTTGGAAAATCCAAAAATTTTTTGGAAATTCCCCAAAATTTTTTGGGAAAATCCCAAAATTCCATGAAAAATTCCCAAAATTTTTTGGAAAATTCCCCAAATTTTTTGGGAAACCCCCAAAAATTTTGGAAAATCCCCAAAATTCCTTAAAAATCCCCAAATTTTTTGGAAAATCCCAAAATTCCTTAAAAAATCCCAAAATTTTTTGGAAATTCCCCAAAATTCCTTGGAAAATCTCCAAAATTCCATGAAAAATCCAAAAATTTTTTGGAAATTCCCCAAAATTCCTTAAAAAATCCCAAAATTCTTGGAAAATCCCCAAAATTCCATGAAAAATTCCCAAAATTCCAGCGTGGCCGTCCCGAGCTGCGAGCCCGGAGCTGCAGAAGAGGAAGAGGAGGAGGAGGAGGAGGAAGAGGAAGAGGAAGAGGAGGAGGAGGAGGAGGAAGAGGAAGAGGAAGAGGAGGAGCAGAATTCCCGGCTCCGGGAGCGGCTCCGGGAATATTTCCAGGGGGATCCCGAGGGGTGCGAGGAGGAGGAAGAGGAAAAAAATCCCGGAATTCCCGCGGTGAGGGAGAATTGGGGGGAAAATCTGGGAATTTGGGGAGAAATCCGGGAATTTGGGGAAAAATCCGGGAATTTGGGGAAAATTTGGGGAGAAATTCGGGAATTTTGGGGAAAATCCGGGAATTTGGGGAGAATTTGGGGAAAATTTGGGGAAAAATTCGGGAATTTTGGGGAAAATCTGGGAATTTTGGGAAAATTTGGGAGGAAAATTGGAAATTTTGGGAAAATTTGGGGAAAATTTGGGGATTTGGGGAAAATTTGGGGAAATTTGGGAGGAAAATTGGGAATTTTGGGGAAAATTTGGGGAAAAATTCGGGAATTTTGGGAAAAATCTGGGAATTCTGGGAAAATTTGGGAGGAAAATTGGGAATTTTGGGGGTTTAAGGGGAAAAAATTGGGATTTTTGGGAAAAATGGGGAATTTTGGGGAAAATTTGGGGGAAAATTTGGGAGGAAACTCGGGGAATTCTGGGAATTTGGGGAAAATTTGGGGAAAATTCGGGGAAAAATCTGGAGATTCTGGGGAAAATTTGGGGATTTGGGGGAAAATTTGGGGAAAATTCGGGAATTTGGGGGAAATTTGGGGAATTTTGGGAAAAATCTGGGGATTTGGGGAAAATTTGGGAGGAAAATTGGAAATTTGGGGAAAATTTGGGGAAAATTTGGGGATTTGGGGGAAAATCTGGGAATTCTGGGAAAATTTGGGGAAATTTTGGGGGTTTAAGGGGAAAAAATTGGGATATTTGGGAATTTGGGGAAAAATTGGGGGATTTGGGGGAAATCTGGGGAAAGTTTGGGGAATTTTGGGGAAAAATCCGGGAATTCTGGGAAAAATTTGGGGAAAAATTCGGGAATTTGGGGGAAAATTTGGGGAAGAATTTGGGGAAAATTTGGGGATTTGGGGGAAAATCTGGGAAAATTTTGGGATTTAATGGGAAAAAATTGGGATTTTGGGAAAAATGGGGAAAATTTGGGAGGAAAATCTGGGAATTCTGGGAAAATTCTGGGAATTCTGGGAAAATTTGTGGAAAAATTCGGGAATTTGGGGGAAAATTTGGGGATTTGGGGAAAATTCTGGGGAAAATTGGGGATTTTTGGAGAAAAATCTGGGAATTTTGGGGAAAATTTGGGGAATTTTGGGAAAAATCTGGGAATTCTGGGAAAATTTGGGGAAAATTTGGGAGGAAAATTGGGAATTTGGGGAAAATTTGGGGAATTTTGGGAAAAATCTGGGAATTCTGGGAAAATTTGGGGAAAATTTGGGAGGAAAATTGGGAATTTGGGGAAAAATCTGGGAATTCTGGGAAAATTTGGAGAAAATTTGGGGATTTGAGGGAAAACTGGGGGAAATTTTGGGGGTTTAAGGGGAAAAATTTGGGATTTTTGGGAAAAATGGGGAATTTTTGGGGAAAAATCTGAAAATTTGGGGTGAAAATGGGAAAAATTTGGGATTTGGGGAAAATTTGGGAAAAATTTGGGAATTTGGGGAAAATTTGGGGAATTTTGGGAAAAATCTGGGGATTTGGGGAAAATTTGGGAAAAATTTGGGGAAAAATTCAGGAATTTTGGGGAAAATTTGGGGAATTTTGGGAAAAATCTGGGGATTTGGGAGGAAAATTGGGAATTTTGGGAAAATTTGGGGAAAATTTGGGGATTTGGGGAAAATTTGGGGAAAAATCCGGGAATTCTGGGGAGAATTTGGGGAATTTTGGGAAAAATCCGGGGATTCTGGGAAAAATTTGGGAGTTCTGGGAAAAATTTGGAGAAAAATTTGGGGAAAATTTGGGGAAAAATCTGGGAATTCTGGGAAAATTCGGGGATTCTGGGGAAATTTGGGGAAAAATTTGGGAATTTGGGGAAAAATTTGGGGGAAATTTGGGAGGAAAATTGGGGAATTTGGGGAAAAATCCAGGAATTTGGGGAAAATTTGGGGAATTTTGGGAAAAATCTGGGGATTTGGGAGGAAAATTGGGAATTTGGGTAAAATTTGGGGAAAATTTGGGGATTTGGGGAAAATTTGGGGAAATTTTGGGGAAAAATTCAGGAATTTGGGGAAAATTCGGGAATTCTGGGAAAATTTGGGGAATTTTGGGAAAAATCTGGGAATTCTGGGAAAATTCGGGGATTCTGGGAAAATCTGGGGAAAAAATCGGGAATTTGGGGGAAATTTGGGGATTTGGGGGAAGATTTGGGAGGAAAATTGGGGAATTTGGGGAAAAATCTGGGAATTTGGGGGAAAATTTGGGGAATTTTGGGAAAAATCTGATTTGGGGGAAGATTTGGGAGGAAAATTGGGGAATTTGGGGAAAAATCTGGGAATTTGGGGGAAAATTTGGGGAATTTTGGGAAAAATCTGGGAATTCTGGGAAAATTTGGGGAAAATTTGGGGATTTGAGGGAAAACGGGGAAATTTGAGGGGTTTAAGGGGAAAAATTTGGGATTTTGGGGAAAAATGGGGAATTTTTGGGGAAAAATCTGAAAATTTCGGGTGAAAATGGGAAAATTTGGGGATTCGGGGAAAATTTGGGAGGAAAATTGGGAATTTTGGGAAAATTTGGGGAAAATTTGGGGAAAATTTGGGGGAAAATTTGGGGAAAAATTCGGGAATTTTATTTGGGAGGAAAATTGGGAATTTTGGGAAAATTTGGGGAAAATTTGGGGAAAATTTGGGGGAAAATTTGGGGAAAAATTCGGGAATTTTGGGAAAATTTGGGGATTTGGGGAAAAATTTGGGGGAAATTTGGGAGGAAAATCTGGGAATTCTGGGAAAATTTGGGGAATTTTGGGAAAAATCCGGGAATTTGGGGAAATTTTGGGGAAAAATCTGGGGATTCTGGGAAAATTTGGGAGTTCTGGGAAAAATTTGGAGAAAAATTTGGGGAAAATTTGGGGAAAAATCTGTGAATTCTGGGAAAATTCGGGGATTCTGGGAAAATTTGGGGAAAAATTTGGGAATTTGGGGGAAATTTGGGGATTTGGGGAAAAATTTGGGGGAAATTTGGGAGGAAAATTGGGGAATTTGGGGAAAAACCCGGGAATTTTGGGGAAAATTTGGGGAATTTTGGGAAAAATCTGGGGATTTGGGGAAAATTTGGGAGGAAAATTGGGATTTTTGGGGAAAATTTGGGGAAAATTTGGGGATTTGGGGAAAATTTGGGGAAAAATTTGGGAATTCTGGGAAAATTGGGGAATTTGGGGAAAAATCTGGGAATTTGGGGAAAATTTGGGGATTTGGGGAAAATTTGGGAGGAAAATGGGGAATTTTGGGGGTTTAAGGAGAAAAAATTGGGATTTTGGGGAAAAATGGGGAATTTTTGGGGAAAAATCTGAAAATTTGGGGTGAAAATGGGAAAATTTGGGGGGAAAATCCGGGAATTTGGGGAAAATTTGGGGAAAATTTTTGGGTTTCAAGAGGAAAAAAATGTGATTTGGGGGGAAAATGGGAAAATTTGGGAAAAATTGGGGAATTCTGGGAAAAATCCGGGAATTTCAGGAAAAATCTGAAAATCCTGGGGAAAAATCTGGGAATTTTGGGGAAAATCCAGGAATTTGGGGAAAACTTGGGGGAAAATTTGGGAGGAAAAATTGGGAATTTTGGGAAAAAATGGGGAATTTTTGAGAAGTTTAGGGGAAAAAAATTGGGATTTTGGGGGAAAATTTGGGAGGAAAATTGGGGAATTTGGGGAAAAATCCGGGAATTTTGGGGGTTTAAGGGGAAAAAATTGAGATTTTTGGGAAAAATTTGGGAAAAATGGGGAATTTGGGGGAAAAATCTGAAAATTTGGGGGAGAAAATGGGAAATTTGAGGAAAATCTGGGGGAAAATTGGGAATTTTGGGGAAATTTGGGGGGTTTAAGGGGGAAAAATTGGGATTTTTGGGAAAAATGGGGAATTTGGGGTGAAAATTGGGGAATTTTGGGAAAATTTTTGGGTTTCAAGGGGAAAAAATTGGGATTTTGGGGAAAAAATGGGAAAATTTGGGAAAAATGGGGGATTTGGTGGAAAAATCGGAAAATTTGGGAGGAAAATTGGGGAATTCTGGGGAAATTTGGGGAAATTTTGGGGGTTTAAGGGGAAAAAATTGGGATTTTTTGGGAAAAATGGGGAAAATTTGGGGAAAATGGGGAATTTGGGGGGAAAATCTGAAAATTTGAGGGGGAAAATTGGGAAAGTTTAGAAAAATCTGGGAAAAAATGGGGAAAAAATGGAAAATTTGGGGGAAATTTGGGGGATTGGAAAGAAATTTGGGGAAAAATCAGGGAATTTTGGGGGAAAATGGGAAAAATTTGGGAAAAATGGGGAATTTTGGGGAAAAATCTGAAAATTTGGGGGAGAAAATGGGAAATTCGAGGAAAATCTGGGGGAAAATTGGGAATTTTGGGGAAATTTTGGGGGTTTAAGGGGGAAAATTTGGGAGGAAAATTGGGGAATTCTGGGAAATTTTGGGGATTTAAGGGGAAAAAATTGGGATTTTTGGGGGAAATGGTGAAAATTTAAGGAAAATTGGGGAATTTGGGGGAAAATCTGAAAATTTGAAGGGGAAAATTGGGGAATTTTAGGGAAATCTGGGAAAAAATGGGGAAAAATGGAAAATTTGGGGAAAATTTGGGGGATTGGAAAGAAATTTGGGGAAAAATCAGGGAATTTTGGGGGAAAATGGGAAAAATTTGGGAAAAATGGGGAATTTGGGGGGAAAATCTGAAAATTTGGGGGAGAAAATGGGAAATCTGAGGAAAATCTGGGGGAAAAATTGGGAATTTTGGGGAAATTTTGGGGGGTTTAAGGAGAAAAAAATTGGGATTTTTGGGAAAAATGGGGAATTTTTGGGGAAAAATCCGGGAATTCTGGGAAAATTCGGGGATTCTGGGAAAATTCGGGGAAAATTCGGGAATTTGGGGGAAATTTGGGGATTTGGGGAAAAATTTGGGAGGAAAATCTGGGAATTCTGGGAAATTTTGGGAAAAGTCTGGGAATTTTGGGAAAATTTGGGGAATTTTGGGAAAAATCTGGGGATTTGGGGAAAATTTGGGAGGAAAATTGGAAATTTGGGGAAAATTTGGGGATTTGGGGGAAAATTTGGGAGGAAAATTGGGGAATTTGGGGAAAAATCTGGGAATTTGGGGAAAATTTGGGGAAAATTTGGGGGATTGGAAAGAAATTTGGGGAAAAATCAGGGAATTTTGGGGGAAAATGGGAAAAATTTGGGAAAAATGGGGAATTTGGGGGGAAAATCTGAAAATTTGGGGGAGAAAATGGGAAATCTGAGGAAAATCTGGGGGAAAATTGGGAATTTTGGGGAAATTTTGGGGGTTTAAGGAGAAAAAAATTGGGATTTTTGGGGAAAAATCCGGGAATTCTGGGAAAATTCGGGGATTCTGGGAAAATTTGGGGAAAATTCGGGAATTTGGGGGAAATTTGGGGATTTGGGGAAAAATTTGGGGGAAATTTGGGGAAAAATCTGGGAATTCTGGGAAAATTTGGGGAAATTTTGGGGAAAAATTCGGGAATTTGGGGGAAATTTGGGGATTTGGGGAAAAATTTGGGGGAAATTTAGGAGGAAATTCTGGGAATTCTGGGAAAATTTGGGGAAATTTTGGGGAAAAATCCGGGAATTTGGGGAAATTCGGGGATTCTGGGGAAATTTGGGGAAAAATTTGGGAATTTGGGGAAAATTTGGGGATTTGGGGAAAATTTGGGGAAAAATTTGGGGAAAAATTCGGGAATTCTGGGAAAATTTGGGGATTTGGGGGAAAAATTGGGAGGAAAATTAGCGAATTTGGGGAAAAATCTGGGAATTCAGGGAAAATTTGGGGAAAATTTGGGAGGAAAATTGGGAATTTTGGGGGGTTTAAGGGGAAAAAATTGGGATTTTGGGGAAAATTTGGGGATTTGGGGGAAAATTTGGGAGGAAACTCGGGGAATTCTGGGAATTTGGGGAAAATTTGGGGAAAATTCGGGGAATTTTGGGAAAAATCCGGGAATTTTGGGGAGAATTTGGGGAATTTTGGGAAAAATCTGGGGATTTGGGGATTTGGAGGAAAATTTGGGGAAAATTTTGGGGTTTCAAGAGGAAAAAACTGGGATTTTGGGGGAAAAATGGGAAAATTTGGGAGGAAAATTGGGGAATTCTGGGAAAAAAATCCGGGAATTTGGGGAAAATTTGGGGAAAAATTGGAGATTTGGGGGAAAATTTGGGGTTTCAAGGGGAAAAAATTGGGATTTTGGGGAAAAATTGGAAAATTTGGGTAATTTGGGGAAAAATCTGGGAATTTGGGGAAAATTTGGGGAAAATTGGGGAATTCTGGGAAATTTGGGGGGTTTAAGGGGGAAAAATTGGGATTTTTGGGAAAAATGGGGAAAATTTGGGGAAAATTGGGGGATTTGGGGAAATATTTGGAAATTTTTGGAGTGAAAATTGGAGAATTTGGGGAAAATTTTTGGGTTTCAAGGAGAAAAAATTGGGATTTGGGGAAAAATGGGAAAATTTGGGGAATTTTGGGAAAAATCTGGAAATTCTGGGAAAATTTGGGGATTTGGGGGAAATTTGGGAGGAAAATTGGGAATTTTGGGGAAATTTGGGGAAAATTTGGGGGAAAAATTGGGAATTTTAGGAAAAAATGGGGAATTTTTGAGAAGTTTAGGGGAAAAAAATTGGGATTTGGGGGGAAAATTTGGGAGTTTGGGGAAAAATCCGGGAATTCTGGGAAAATTTGGGGAAAATTTGGGGATTTGGGGGAAAATCCTGGGGAAAATTGGGGAATTTTGGGAAAAATTTGGGAATTCTGGGAAAAATTTGGGGAAAAATTCGGGAATTTGGGGAAAATTTGGGGATTCGGGGGAAAATTTGGGGAATTTTGGGAAAAATCTGGGAATTCTGGGAAAATTTGGGGGAAAATTTGGGAGGAAAATGGGGAATTCTGGGGGGTTTAAGGAGAAAAAATTGGGATTTTGGGGAAAAATGGGGAATTTTGGGGGAAAAATCTGAAAATTTGGGTAAAAATGGGAAATTTGAGGAAAATCTGGGGGAAAATTGGGAATTTTGGGAAAATTTGGGGGTTTAAGGAGAAAAAATTGGGATTTTTGGGAAAAATGGTGAAAATTTAATGAAAATTGAGGAATTTGGAGGAAAAATCTGAAAATTTGAGGTGGAAAATTGGGAAATTTTAGGGAAATCTGGGAAAAAAATGTGGAATTTTAGGAAAATCTGGGGAAAAAATGGGAATTTTGGGGAAATTTGGGAGGTTTGGGTGGAAAAAATCAGGGAATTTTGGGAAAATTGCGAGAAAAAACGAGGAATTGTGGGAAAATCCGGGAAAAATGAGGGATTTGGGAGGCAAAAATGAGGAATTTCAGGGAAATTTGGGGATTTTGGGGATGGGAATTTGGGATTTTGCTGTGGTTGAAGGATGAGGAGGAAGAAATCCGAGCTGAGATCAGGAAATTGTTGGCGGCGTTTCCGGATGAGGAATTTACGGGAAGAGCCGTGGCCAGGATTTTCCATGGGATTGGTGAGGGGTTGATCCCAAAAAAACACACCCAGATTCCCAAAAAAACACACCCAGATTCCCAAAATCCCAAAAAAACACACCCAGATTCCCAAAAAACACACCCAGATTCCCAAAAAAACAAACCCAGATTCCCAAAAAACACACCCAGATTCCCAAAAAACAAACCCAGATTCCCAAAAATCCCAAATTTCCAGTCCCAGATTCCCAAAAAACAAACCCAGATTCCCAAAAAAACAAACCCAGATTCCCAAAAATCCCAAAAAAACACACCCAGATTCCCAAAAAAACACACCCAGATTCCCAAAATCCCAAATTTCCAGTCCAAAAATCCCAAAAATCCAATCCCAGATTCCCAAATTCCCCAAAAAAATCCCAAAAATCCCAAATTTCAAGTCCCAGATTCCCAAAATCCCAAAAATCCAATCCCAGATTCCCAAAATCCCCCAAAAAAATCAGAAAAATCCCAAATTTCCAATCCCAGATTCCCAAATTCCAAATTTCCCAATCCCAAAAATCCAATCCCAGATTCCCAAAATCCCAAATTTCCAGTCCCAAATTCCCAAAAAAATCACAAATCCAAAAAGTCCCAAATTTCCCAAAAATCCAATCCCAAAAAATTCCCAAAAATCCAATCCCAGATTCCCAAATTTCCAATCCCAGGTTCCCAAAAATTCCTAAATTTCCAGTCCCAGATTCCCAAAATCCCAAATTCCCAATCCCAAATCCCAAAAATCCAGTCCCAAATTCCCAAAAAATCACAAATCCAAAAAGTCCCAAATTCCCAAAAATCCAGTCCCAGATTCCCAAAATCCCAAAAATCCCAAATTCCCAATCCCAGATTCCCAAATTCCCCCAAAAAATCACAAAAATCCCAAATTCCCAATCCCAGATTCCCTAAAATCCAATCCCAGATTCCCTAAAATCCAATCCCAGATTCCCAAAATCCCCCAAAAAAATCACAAAAATCCCGAATTTCCAATCCCAGATTCCCAAATTCCAAATTTCCCAATCCCAAAAAATTCCCAAAAATCCAATCCCAGATTCCAATCCCAAAAAATTCCCAAAAATCCAATCCCAGATTCCCAGATTCCTCAAAAAAATCCAAAAAATCCCAGATTTCCAGTCCCAGATTCCCAAAAAACACACCCAGATTCCCAAAATCCCAAATTCCCAGATTCCCAAAATCCCCAAATCCCAAATTTCCAGTCCAAAAATCCCAAATTCCCACTCCCAGATTCCCAAAAATCCAGACCCAAATTCCCAAAATCCCAAATTTCCCAAAATCCCAAAATCCCAAATTTCCAATTCCAAATTCCCAAAAATCCAATCCCAAGAAATCCCCAAAAAAATCCCAAAAAAAACCCCAAAAAATCCCAAAAATTCAAAAAAAAAATTCAAAAAAAATCCCAAAAAATCCCCAAAAAAAATCCCAAAAAAATTCCATAAAATCCAATCCCAGATTCCCAAAATTCCCAAAATTCCAATCCCAGATTCCCAAAATTCCCAAATTTCCAGTCCCAGATTCCCAAATAAATCCCAAATAAAAAAAAAAATCTGATCCTGAATTCCTGAAAATTCCACCCAAAAAAATTCCCCAAAAAAACTCCCAAAATCCCAAATTTCCCAATCCCAAAATTCGGGGATTTTTTGGGAATTTTGGGATTTTTGGGATTGGGAATTTTTGGGAATTTGGGGATTTTGGGGGATTTTTTGGGGTTTTTGGATTCTTTAGAAATTTGGGGAGTTTTGGGAATGGATTTTTTGGGAATTCTGGGATTGGATTTTTTGGGATTTTTGGGGGAATTTGGGGATTTTTGGGATTGGATTTTGGGGAATTTGGGGATTTTTGGGATTGGATTTTTTGGGATTTTTGGGGATTTTTTGGGATTTTTGGGACTGGATTTTTGGGGAATTTGGGGATTTTTTGGCATTTTTGGGATTGGATTTTTTTTGGGGATTTTTGGGGAATTTGGGGATTTTTGGGGATTTTTGGGATTGGATTTTTGGGGATTTTGGGGATTTTTTGAGATTTTTGGGATTGGATTTTTGGGAATTCTGGGATTGGATTTTTGGGGATTTTTGGGATTGGATTTTTTGGGGAATTTGGGGATTTTTGGGGAATTTTTCAGGAATTTGGGGATTTTTGGGATTGGATTTTTGGGGATTTTTGGGATTGGATTTTTTGGGATTTTGGGGATTGGATTTTTTGGGATTTTGGGGATTTTTTGGGATTTTTGGGATTGGATTTTTTTGGGGAATTCGGGGTTTTTTTGGGAATTTGGGGATTTTTGGGGTTGGGAATTTTTGGGGAATTTGGGGATTTTTGGGATTGGATTTTTTTAGGAATTTGGGGATTTTTGGGGGAATTTTTGGGATTTTGGAGATTGGATTTTTGGGGAATTTGGGGATTTTTTTTGGGATTTTTGGGGTAATTTGGGGATTTTCAGAGGGAATTTTGGGATTGGTTTTGTTGGGAATTTGGGCATTTTTGGGATTGGATTTTTTTGGATTTTGGGGATGGGATTTTTGGGGAATTCTGGGATTGGATTTTTGGGGAATTTGGGGACTTTTTGGGATTTTTGGGATTGGATTTTTGGGGAATTCTGGGATTGGATTTTTGGGGGAATTTGGGGATTTTGGGGATGGGATTTTTGGGGATTTTTTGGCATTTTTGGGATGGGATTTTTGGGGAATTTGGGGATTTTTGGGGATTTTTGGGATTGGATTTTTTGGGATTGGATTTTTGGGGATTTTTGGGATTGGATTTTTTGGGGAATTTGGGGATTTTTGGGGAATTTTTCAGGAATTTGGGGATTTTTGGGATTGGATTTTTTGGGATTTTTGGGATTGGATTTTTTGGGGGATTTTTGGGGAATTTTGGGGATTTTTGGGGATTTTTTGGGATTTTTGGGATTGGATTTTTGGGGAATTCGGGGTTTTTTTGGGAATTTGGGGATTTTTGGGGTTGGGAATTTTTGGGGAATTTGGGGATTTTTGGGATTGGATTTTTTTAGGAATTTGGGGATTTTTGGGGGAATTTTTGGGATTTTGGAGATTGGATTTTTGGGGAATTTGGGGATTTTTTTTGGGATTTTTGGGGTAATTTGGGGATTTTCAGAGGGAATTTTGGGATTGGTTTTGTTGGGAATTTGGGCATTTTTGGGATTGGATTTTTTTGGATTTTGGGGATGGGATTTTTGGGGAATTCTGGGATTGGATTTTTGGGGTTTTTGGGGATTTTTTGGGATTTTTGGGATTGGATTTTTGGGGAATTTGGGGATTTTTGGGGATTTTTGGGATTGGATTTTTTGGCATTTTTGGGATTGGATTTTTTGGGGATTTTGGGGATTTTTTGGGATTTTTGGGATTGGATTTTTTTGGGGATTTTTTGGGAATTTGGGGATTTGGGGGATTGGATTTTTTGGGAATTTTGGGGGGATTGGGTTTTTTGGAATTCGGGGATTTGGGGATTTTTGGGGGAAATTGGGAATTTGGGGATTTTTGGGATTGGATTTTTGGGATTTTTGGGATTGGGAATTTTTTGGGAATTTTGGGATTTTGGGATCGAATTTTT